CAGTACACAGCACAGCACAAAAATTTTGTCTATTTTGGTTTTGTTCATATAAATTTCGGGTCTTGGCCGCTGCATAAAGCGGTGGAATACGGTAAAACCTACGAAGATAAGGGTTGGAGTTGTCTGCCCGTTCCTACGCTGCCTAGCTTCAGTGTCAATCAAGAGGGCTGACACAATTCAAGATTACCCATTCATTTACTGGAGCAGTCAGACTGATGGGGTTAGGTCAAACCAAGCATTTTTCATTCACTTAGTTTGCACCCTAGCCTGTGAGCTAGATCTGGTTCAGACGTTTGTTTTTATACAATTTGAAACATAAGATGAGTAGTATCATCCACCCGCTGAACAACTTTTCCGGTTGAGAACTTATTTCTCCCTGACTGTCACAACAACCGCGCAATACACACATTTCAACTAACTGCGCAAATGTAACCCAGCCGCAATGCAAGGAAGTCAAACTGTTACACTAGTTTCTTCTGTCGCTGTCATTCAAACAGAACCGCCACCTGCATATGGTATGTTTTTTATAATTTATTAACGTTGATTCTGTTCGAATGCATATTTAAAATGGTTTTGACAAGTTATTAGATTTTTTAACATTATAGATACTAAGCCGGTAGAAATAATTTCGCCCCAAAACTGATCTTTGACAAATTAGAATCTCACATCAAAGGGAACAACTTGTAGTGGAGAAGAACCCGTGGACTTTGTATTCAAGTAGTCGCTGAGATAACTAACGATTCTCGTATATTCCAGGAGACCATAGTTGGGCTTTCAAGGATTAGTATACCCTTTTTACGAGTGTGTTCTCCGTAACCTTGCCAAAGCCATAAGCTTCCGCACAAGCCATCGGAGTATAAATGCTATAACTTGAAGTCTTAGCGTCGGAGGCTAACGCTGACTATACGCAAAGCCCAAATTGTGGAGTTCAGAATCCACACACGAAAGAGACTCTCATGTTGGCTAATTAAAAAAAGTTCATTTGACACTGCCACGAAGAATCTAACCTTTTGTCCCCTTTAGTCAAGATATGTAAACTGAGGTCACGCGCACTTAGTTCTTGAAATTTATCATACAGTGACACTTTCGCAAGGCCTTGAAAGTAGTATTATTCGGGGCTGTTTTCAGTTAAAATGTGCACTCAAACCAAAGGCCCGAAATAATACATAAACTGCTAACAACAGCAGATGTCTGCTCGTTTTGTGCTCTATTCTCAAAGACCAATTGAACGGAAGAACACCCTACGCTGAGGAATTGCTTGCTTGCCAACAGGAACTGAGCAATCACACGTAAATAGGCACGAAAGTGAAAACTTCATCTGCACAGTGTATTCGAAAAGCGACCATTCTCGGGTTTCTTTTTAGCCGCTTTGAATGTTCTTTAAATTGTAAACAATGACGAAAAAGTACCACAAAGCAACCTTGCATGAGAGGCGGGGACTGCGCTTTCACACCTGACTGGACACTAATCGCATGTTTCATCAGTAGAATGCATCGTTACACAACTAGCTTCTAGTGGTATTGGATGACTACCGATGCAACTTTTTGGCGGAAGTCTCATGAACCTCTTACAGTCTCTAAGCAACAATACAAAGAAATCACAACCGGGTATCTCTTGACGATTTCGAGAGCAACTTCAGCAAGTTTTCAACCACAGTCAACTAGTTGAATTCACAATGCACAGGACTTAGGACAGATCTATATTAACAGATGTCACGGCTGAAATTCTTGCTTATCAGATGAGCAGTATCCGCTGCGCTGAATTAGCTTCCGAATCGCTTTCCGTGTGGAAAATCTTGGTGTCCGGACCTCGCAGTGATGACACCAGACGTTGCTAGGCGTTCCATTTAGTCGTACAGCTGCGCTTCACTCCTGCATAATAGTCTGAATTCACACCAGGAATAGTGTTGTTGAGACAAAGTAATTGATTTTTTCGGCCACTGATTTGACAAGCAGAGCCTATTTAGAACGAGTCTTTTCAATACACACAGATGAGACCATGCATGGGACAATGCGTGGAAGAGAACGCCAATAAACGGACCAATACAGGCAACCCGACGTCATCTCAGCTATGTCTCTTGCATATGATATGCTGACCAGTGTGTCTGGGGAACAGGAGCTGTTATTCTGGCATTTTTTCTACCTTCAGGAGTCCACCAGAACAAAACAAAGCAGGGCTATTTGAACTATTTGAATGAAATTCGCGCCGTCAACCATGTTCTTCGTCTTCCACTAAGTAGCTTAGAATTCAAGTGAAATAATTCACCAAGGCGAACGTTCGATTTCATTGACCCGACCATCTGAGAACCGTGAGAAATAATGGCCTTACAGGGCTGACACATTTTCATTGACTGAATGCCTTGCTCAAAGATCTGCATGCAAAAGCGCCTTTCGCTAAAACACGTAGAACACACGGCGTGCCCGACGCATAGCACACTAGACGTGTAGTTCTGACCTGCCACATTAGATAAACATGAGGTCTATGCGATACTATGGGCTACTCTCACAAGAAAGACCCGGAATTAATATCCCGCATGCAGACTTTGCTCGTTTCCCTAAAAGGCATATAGATGAGTTGAAAGAACGCGGCATACGCGGCAAGGTAATGCCCTTGAAATGTCCTGGGGATCATCATTAGTAGTATAATCAGACAGTTGGCTGTATAGTACACATTAACATAAGCCCGGGATCTTCTGTCACAACAGGTGACCATGCTTCTCATGATCTTCTTAGTGCTTAGGAATTGGACGGTGTTACCATCACCCTCAGTTACGTCTGGGTTTTGTGTCGCGCGTTTCGATTCTTCTCAAAATTCTTGCGCTCAAATCGTCGTTATGTCCATCTCCTTGAACTCACAGCTTTTGAGTTGGTTGAACAGGACACATTTTGTTGGCCAAGCAAATTTACTTCTGGATGAAACCAGAAAGTTATAAAGGCTAGGCAACTACAGACACCACTGAAATCTGCAAACGAGTAGTTCATTTTGCTGTACTGGTTGTAAGTCGGTTTTTATCAAGGTGACGATGGAGTTAGAAGACTTAAAAGGAATTCAAATTTGTGTTCTCATCGTTTTTAGACAAGACTGTGTTTTCAATATATGCGTCAACCTAACGAACGCGCTTTGAACACTGTTGTCCAGGGTGTGCTGAGAGTTTAGGGGAACGTCATTTATTGTATGCTGCACCTGAATGTGGAGTAGAATGAATCCAACACTGCGATTGTAGTTCACTTAAATGAGTGTAAAATACGTGTGGCCCGATCAGAGAAAGTGCAAAATGTGGGTTTTCCCGATATACATGCACACGTACAATTAGAAGGACGTACAGCTAAGTAATATCGCTCGAGTACCGTACGGCATTTATCGCTCAGAGTAGTTAGTGTGTGGCCTTTTCAATAGAATGACAGAAAAAACAGTGAGAATTCCAATGAGATCGGAGGCTTCAAAAGAATTAACGTCGTTCACAAATGAAGGTCTAATCAGTTGCAAACATCAAACTAGGTTCTAATGTGCAATTAGAAAAAGAAGCCCGTCTTTTACGTGAATTTACTAGTCTCTTTGAATCATTTGTTTGCGGAAATTCACCTTGGTGTCAGAATTAACAGTTGGTCTGAAAACAGCTGTTCGGTTTGCTTAGCTCTCATTCTGATCACGAGGAGTCGGCGACTTGAGGAGCCAGGAGTGTACTGAAAACAGATTTTGTGTCAAGCCTACATGTGTTTTGCATGAACCTCGTCAATTGAGTTTAATTTGTAATATCTATAAACGTGACTGGGTATAAATTAATCGACTAAATAAAAGGCGCATTTGCTTGTGTTTTGGCAAACAGGTGCTTCAAGACGCCGTATTTGGGAGATGAAATTCCCAATGCGGTTTCTTGAGCTTAAGAAAAACCGAAGTTTGAAATAAGCACCATAGTATTCGCAGCGTCTCGTTGCTTGAAGTGGCCTAGATTGAGGGCAACGTCCACAAATTTGGCCCATGAAAGTTTTAGGTAGATGTGTGTTTGTATTCCCATAGTGACTTTACATTTTCGTGCCTTCTGGTTTGGGTTCCTAGCGAATGAAGAACCACTGTTTGGTGAGTAGTGAATTTGTTTTTCAAATGTTGGACCAATAGCTGCTAAATATGTATTAGCAATAACTGATTGCATTTGGGCAGCTAACTATGAAAATCGTGGTTCGCTGTGTGACATGGGTTGGCAAATTGTGGGAGTGAAAAGTCATTTATAACAACCATCGATCACATCATTTGGTTGGTGAACTCATCTACGTTTTTGTGGCGAACTTTACGTGGATCAATAGACTTGGGTGCTCTCACTTAAAAAGCGACAATCTCAGTATACAGACACGGCTTCTTGTGATTCTCGAAGAGTACGGACTTCAAAGCAGTACATGATGTTGGTCCTCTCCACCCTAAATATTTTTGCCAAAAACCAAGCTAACCTCGGTCCTTATGACGAGCATGCAGTTAGGTGTAAGACGAATGCATTTCCTTACCTGTGTCGCCTCCAATCGATTTGGCTGGCTCAACAGCTTTAGATTGCAGTGACCAAGGCCTACGGTCAGGAACATCAAAAAAGAAATGCCGGACAAAGGGCGAAACTTAAAACAGGGTGGTGCCAATATTCACTCAAAAATTGATATAAACATAATAAATTTTACAATGTTCCAAAAGTTACCAACCATTTTGCAGTAATTTGCCACGTATATGTGATTAAGAGGCCCTCGAAGGTAATTCAGCAAACACTTTCAAGGGGAAAATGAACAGTTTAACTGGGTGTAATTTCTTTCACTGGGGATTCTATCCACCAAATCCCACTTTCCTTTGCACACCCAAAACGAAGTGCTTTCAATGAGCAGTTTGTGTTCTCTGCTGTACGGAAGGCAGAATTAGGCACACAAGTGCATTCTTCAGTGTTTGCTCAGAAAGAAAAAATATAGCGTCTGGTTTTTCCAAACTTCACATTACTTTATGATGAATTTTTCTAAAAATCTGAAGTCGTGTCAAGCAACCTCCGAGATTCAAACGGATTTGTTTTAATCGCTGGAGGGTTGGCCACTCGGCAAACATCAGATGTCGATCGATCGTCACAAGCAGGACAGTTACTGGATCGTCGTTCGATGAGTCGGGCACCCCAATCACATCGCTCAAGTGTGAACACGTTCGCCTGTTCAGACGTGATAATTCAGATGCGTCCGACGTAAGTTGGTGGAGTAGTGGTTACACGCTCGCCTCGCATGTCAGATGTCCGGGGTTCAAATCCCGGCACAGCCATTGGATATGCACTGCTGATGAGCTCTAATATGAGCGAAACTCGAATCCAGTGCTTCTCTTTGGTGTGAACTCACCGGAATAATCACCCCAGAACAGGAGGACGAACGTTCAAACGAGGATGATGTGACTAAGAACAAAGTACCTATCCCGCAAAATCCCCAAAACTACAAATACTAGATGGCTGAATGCATTCTCTGGACAACTTTGAGAAGCAAACTTGCAAGATTGTGTTTCGGGGATGATGTACACTGCGCAGTTGATCAGCGGTTTTTTCGAAGAACAAAAGATATTTTGTTTGATGAAAGTTCCTAGCAAATGCCACGTTTGCTAGAAATAAACCTACCGAATAGATTTATAGCTGACGGTTGGGAAAATCTTATGGCGAAAATCCATGAACTTTTACGTTGCTAGTGACTGAATCTTTATCCACTTGATGTGAGTAGTTTGAGTACCACTAAATGAAGGTCACTGGCTTATTGTTTATTCGTTTAATACAAACCGAATCAAATATGAAGTGTTCATTATTCAACCCTATGTAACTCTGTTGCCAGTCATATTTTTTGTTGCTTAAACTTTTTCTGACCAGCTGCATTCCGAGAGAGAACTAGTTTGCTTTGTTGTTAGCACCAATGAGAATGGGAGATTTCAGTCTTTGTTTTGACGCATCTCAGCATTCTTTTACCATTCGCCAGTTGCTTCTTCTAATATCATTTGATATAACTTATCACTGCATAGCAGTCACTGTGAACACACTTTACTTAAATTTATCAGAGATACCAGCACCCGGTGGTGAGTATTGTACTACCTCATGTGTTCGAACTTGTCAATGCGTCCGTCTATAGAGTGACTAGATGTGAGGACTCAAGTTGCTTGTCCACAATCTCACAGAAGAATATTAACTTTGTAGAGAAGACCTACCCAGTGAATCGCAGTAGAAGAGTGGGTTGATTTCGTTGTTAAAAACACATGCTTCCGGGGTTGGAGGGTGATTGTCACACTCAGCTAGTCGGAAACACTGTGCGCTTTCCCTCTTTCCCACCTAGCGTATCTAAGAGGAGAATAGATCAACATCTGTGGTTCACGCAACACTGCGATCTGAACTGCAGGCTCGTGATTTTGATGCAAGTTAGGAATGAGTGAATGAAGGAGACAACAAAGCAAACGCTATTATTGTTCTTAAAACTGTGCACGTTTAAAGAGTGTCACCGAAGTCTTTACCTCTACAATAAAAAATTCCAAATAACTCCAAAGTTTCTGTCAGCACTTGATACCCAAACTCAGCCAATAAAAAACGACGTCTTTTCGAAATGGCCTGGTCCAAAAATGCATGTTTTTCACTAGTTAGGCCATTCCGTTTTCAGTGTCACTACGGGTTTCCTTTTCTTCACAACTGCAAATGTCTAATTTAATCCGCTCGACATTTCACATTATGTTGTTTCCAAAAACTTGCCACTCCTTGCCGACTGCAAGTGCACTTGCTCTTCGGGCACTAGCCAGTTTCAGAATAGTGATGAATCGCCACAAGCCATGATGGCACGATGGGCAGTAGCTCCGTGGTTTTCACGACATCAAGTCACATTTAGATGCATGTCACTTAGTTGATCGTGCCCGCTCCTAATGAGAAATCGTTCTCTAAAATGAAGCATCTGTCTTGCTTGTGAAGATGTCCTCTATTCTGTGTTCTCATGGGCTAATTGACAAGAGTGAATGTCGCACAAGCCTGCTAAAATTGGCGCTTTCCCGTTTCTACTGAGCGTGGAGCAATTAAAAACATGTATCGGTAATCCAAAAAACCATCGAGCAGTCTGTAAACAAAAACCACTTACATCTCTGAATGTTCACCTTGATAAACAAAACTCCTCTTACAACTTTATCTCACACCATGACACAGAACTGCCGCCACCATATGGTAAGACGAGTGTGCATAATTTCAGTTTAGTCCTGGCTTTTTAAAGACATTTGTTCCCCGTAGGCTCAGCAAAAACGCCCAAAATGTTCGGAATCAAGAAGTTCCAGATGCTTTTAGCTTCCGCCAGACGATGTTGACGGCGTCCGGAAGAGCTGTCCAAAAATAGGATATAGCAAAGTTGAATACCGCGATTGAATCTGCACAGAAAATTAGAACAATCGTAATCGGACTGCAGAAGAACGTGATGAGATGATCCCTTGCTACCGTGCTGGAACACTTTAGTGAAGGTCATGAAGACCATGGTTTCTCATTTTTATCCGCAGGAATATAGTGCAATAATCCAGCTTTCGTGGACATGAGTCATGTACAGTATCAATATAGGTCTATTTAGTGCCTACCGGGTGTCTTTTTACCCGATTCCCTATCAAAAATACGGCGAAAAAATGTTTTGCACAAACTCTATCGAATGCTTCTCGGTCCAAGCAATGTACTTTGCAAAGACTACTTTCTACGTCTGTCTGTTCTATCATCCGACATTTTTTACTCCTAACACATTCGACACAGTCAGTGTACCAATCAGACGGAACGCCCGCCTACTATTCTGTAAAAAACCGTTGTTATGAGAATGAACTGCCACATGTTCCATTACTTGGAATTAGTACACTGACAAGCATAGCAGGAGCAAGATCTGCTGCTCAAAACGTTTCTCGAAGAGTGCTCCAATTTTCGTCCGTTTGATATCAGTAAATTGCATTCTGAGTGATATCTATACCAGCCTATTCCTAGGGTAGCAAAGCCTGTACATCACACCAAATGGAAACTGCATTTCTGGTCTCGGGTTGGAAGAATTTTCGCGACGTCACTCTGTACAAGCAGGGTATACGGCCTTGTAGAACCACCCTTTGTAACTTCTGGTCTCTCAAATCTGAACCATGGCTCCCTACCACAATGTTAAGTGGGTCCACCTGAGTGAGTTACATCATTAGTACACTAGCAATGAAAGGTTGATATAAACCTTGCCGTGCATCAAGTCAAGGGCTCTGATTATCAAATTTAGGTTGCGTTTCACAGATCTTCATACTCATCTCATATGCAACCCACAGCATCTGGCAGTCTAAACTAGTGGGATTCCCAAACAGACTAAATTCACACGATGCTTATAAGGTTATCGAATGGACATGTGACCATGTTTGGCCGACATGTATATTCGTTCGCAACCACCCTTACTTGACCGTATAATTTGACAAGTCATTTCGGCCACGGGTCTTCATTGCCAAATGGAAAATTAGCAGGTTCCAATTTGACGTAGATGCATTGCTACTACCTGCCAACAGCCGTCCGTAAAGACTTTGCTTGTGTTGTCGTATTACTAGGTCAGTCATGTCAAGTCAGAACGTTACACGAAACCAATCCCGACATTAGAGAGTCCTGGTTCTCTGGTGCCTTCTAGTTTGGTACAAATTTACCCACTCATTTGAAACCGGAAATGTTTTTTTTCGCTTTAAAATAAAACGTCCAACTAAATCGCTTTTTGTATTCCCCACTGTTTCAAGAACAAGTTTACGGTAAGGCATGATTGTTTCAGTATTTTCACACAACCGAACGCGTATATTTTCGACCAAACTTTTGGTTTATTTTTTCTTACGCGTGATAATATTTACTGTCAACAAATCTCTGGGCAACAGAGACCCTGGGTAGAAGCCATTTAAAAAGACAATGCTTGTCGGCAAATCAATGTGAGCACAGCATCGGTGGTGCTTCAGCGGTGAGTTCGTTTAAAACACATAAATGGTTGCCACTGGGTGCATTTTCCCAAAAAATCTCCAACATGGAAAAGTCCACACAATCGTTAAAAATGTAATCACCCCTCTTGTTAGTGAAGAATTATATGGTAGTCACCCCATGGTGATTTCTTCTCGACTTCTCTGCTTTGCTACCTTACTGGCGGGAACACGGATCATGGCAACAAGCAATACTCTTGAAAAAATGGGAAAACATTTACCTAAGTTTTAATGGCGTGTTTCCAGCGTAAAACAAATGTGTTTTTCCTAAACGTGGTACCATCTCTCTCAAACCGTAGATTCCTGTCTGAGATTTCAATTCATTGATGAAAGCGGGCTTAGTTGTGTCACTCTGACCCCGAAAATTTTGGAGGAACGTGTGTTCACAAAGACGACAACATTGTGGATTCGCAATGTGTTTTCATAATCAACCGGTGAGTGACACATACTTGGAGATCACCCTCAACCAGTCGGTTAGTGAAAACGCAACACAGAGGAGGTGTTGTATCTCTTCACCTGCCCTAGCGCTACTGGGTTATAGTCAGAAGACAAGAAAGCGACCAGAAGGAAATGTGTATTAAGGCAATTACAACTCTCTATATATGATTCACTTGATGGTCGATCCACTGTCAACCAACCAGTGTGTCTTCTGCACGCCCACACTGGTTCTCGGACGGTTGTTCTTTTGTCTCGGTTGATCACAGATGGTCGTCTGTGCGCTTGTGTACGGTCATGGATTGGGCGTGTACTTTCTGTGTCCCTTTTTGAACTTTCCCCGGCACACGGTGAAATCGGACGTGATTCAGACGTGTGGGCGTAGCCTCACTTGATGTCGATCCACTGTCAACCAACCAGTGTGTCTTCTGCACGCCCACACTGGTTCTCGGACGGTTGTTCTTTTGTCTCGGTTGATCACAGATGGTCGTCTGTGCGCTTGTGTACGGTCATGGATTGGGCGTGTACTTTCTGTGTCCCTTTTTGAACTTTCCCCGGCACACGATGAAATCGGACGTGATTCAGACGTGTGGGCGTAGCCGCACGGCCCTGTTTCACATGATTGTTCCGCTGCGCAGTAGACTGATGCGCAGCCGTATTAGGAGGGCTGTAATTTCAGGGTTTTATTCCCCAATTTCATTAGGCAGAATAACGCTTTGGTGCTACACTCGCTTCAGTTAACCTGGACTCACAGTCCTCCCGGACAATTTCCTGCGTGTTTTTTTTTCGGTTCCCAAAATCAGAGCTATTTTGGCTAGTTTTTAATTGATTCTACAAGTCTGTCTTTGTCTTCTAGAGTTACTGTATTTCTCCACCACTGCACGGTAGGCCCACAAAGTGTTGTGAGCTGGCGTGTGGGTATCGAATCACGCCCTGTAATTGGGTGTACATATTGTTTGTATTTAAAACACTGGCAGCACTGAAGTACTACTTGCTCGTCTATGTCAAAGCGCCATGGACCCCTGAGTTTGCATTATTCTCTCAGTCGTTTCCGTTGACGAGCAGAGCATGATAGTTGCTAGGGCCTAAGGTTGTAAATACTGCTTTTTAAGACAACAGTGTCACTGCAAGGTATAGAACGTCTCAAGTTTGGATGCGAGATAATTTTAGACACAACCCAACCTGCTATATAAAAGCACTTTTATAATAGGATGAGTCTGAGTTGGAATCAGAAAGTGCACTCTGACCGTAGCAGGCAAAGACATACGACCATAAGCATAGCGGTAAGTCCCATCAAAAAGCATTGGCGGGCTGAACGCATTCCAGAAGGTCAATTGGATTTCAGCTTGCCTTTGGAATTCGGAAGGTGAATGCAAACCACTTCTGTGCTCTACCGTCACTAGATACCATTCACGGACTCTGGGCAGCGACGAAAAGCCGGTAAAACTGACCCAGCTCCCTTATACTCTTCATTAGTTTCGTCCAAACGGAACATCGGGCTCCGATGCAACAACGTATACTATATCACTGTACACATTGGGGGTGTACCAACTCTTGGTGTGATCAATAGGACTAAGGGTTAAAGTACGACTTCCAGGTCGATCTCAGATATTTGATTGCAAAGGTTACACATTTTAGTTTTCCTAATGATCATACCATTGAGGCCATTTAATGGCGTCGTATCCGTGGTACGTCTCTAATCTAATACGAAATACTAACCAGTTTGACCTGTGCGAGCACTAACAACACCCCTTTCTTTCTGTGCTAATCTTCGAATTACATGCCTCTGACGATCCAGTACGTCCCGCGTCACAAAAGACGGAGACAGGAAGAAAAACCCATTGAATACATCCTTAAACTTCTATATCACCTCTAAAAGATGAGACATTCTTTAAATGAACGCATCTGAACGTCATTTCGAAGTAAGGCACCGTCACTGAGGTCGACCCACTGCCCATTTAGAAATTCAATCGCCACAATCTCATAGCACACCGACGATTGAATTGCCATGCCGCCCAACATTCCCCGCCGGGTTTCAAGTCACACTCGAGCAGGATCATGTTGGCCAAAGCCGGTAAGACACCATGATTCGAGAGCTCTCAATTTGACTGTATCCGCTTTGGTTTCGTGTTGCCACATCATGGCCTGCTTTAATTTATTAAGCTATGTTGTTCAACCATTAATTCTGTGCCTACGTTGACGAAGTGGGATACTTGCTGACCCAGTTTATGATCCTTCTGATTACGGGCAGAATCCACCCCACACACTGTCTTCAGCTTGCTTGTCATTTGCCTATCGAGTGAGACCCAGTTTATCTCATTAATTCGCTGGCATTTCTGAAGGACATCAGTTGAAGAGCCACGCAAAACTTTATACCGATTACTTCTTGTTTGCAGAAAATACCGCAGCGGACACGGAGGAAGGAGCAGTCGGATATTCAAATTAAAGTGACTGTCATCAGATATTGCTTTGGACATTTTGCCTACGCATACTCTGCTGAATGTGTCGAATAAAGTTGACATTAGCAGTGTCTTTTGATAATGACTTTGGCACTCATCCTTCGAGTGACTCCATCAGAACCTTTCAGTTAAAGGCATGGGAAGAGTTTCCGCATTCTCGGAAGCGTCGCAGACCTTGGATTACCGTACAGAAACGTGTTTTCAGTGACATGGTAATCAAATCTGTGCAACGCTGAATTGGACAACGGGTTCCAATACAAGGAAGTCAAGTAGAAACCACACGTTTAAGTTCTCCATATATATGTGCAAACTTGTACACCAAGTCAAGTTCAAACAGGTTCAGACAGAACAGTTTGGTCAAGGGGTATTGATCTGTCTTAGCGGGTGTGGCATTTTTCCCCAGCCTCAGGCCAACCACCGCTGATCAGAGGTCAGAACTTTGAGACAGATGTTTTGGTCGGTCAAATTAATCCTCCGTTCGTCTAGGCTCAAGCCCCCAGATAGTATCTTAGCGATCACACAAGCACCTCCCTTGCAGCAGTTAAGTAACAATACACATTGCTGGTGCACTATGTTCACTGATGACGATGATGGCGATTGCAGCAAGATCTGGACCAACTACAAGGAATTCGGTGCGATCTTAAGGTTCAGCAATTTCCCGAACTTCGTCGTGGCTGCCATCAGAATACAAAACGTTTGTCATTTATTTTTTGAGGAACATGGTCACAAACATGTAAAGTGAATGTAAGCGATGAATGCGAAAGGATAGCAGGAGAATATGATAGAAAAGAGAGAAACGTCTCATACGAATCCATGCCACCAACAGTTCCGGGCAGATGAGACGGATCCCCACGTATGTAAAAGTTTTGATATGCTAACTCACGTCTAAAGACCAACAACCGAAGAAAGGACAAACAATGTTGAATGCTCTTCAAGGCGCGGTAAGCGCTAGCGCAATGAAGGCTCACACATCAGGCACAAACCTAGAGCGTTACCTAAAAGACCGGCTCAGTCCATTTAATATATATGCATGAACTTGAAAGCAGTGGCCATCTTATTGTGCCGCCTGCTTGTTCCGCTCACAAATCCAATAGTTCACCCAATGACACTGTCTGTGTCACGGTATATCGGTGAAGTCAAACCTTGTCTTAAGCCAGACAAAAAGAACAACAAACTTACTAGCTGTGACAAATTCCTTGGCTTTGGCAGGACGCTTGCCGCAACCATCGCATAATTTTCATATCTAGGTCGCGAATGGCCTCTCCAATTTGAGTTTACGACGATGTTATAGGCGTGCTTATCGTCTACGTCGTTTTGAGGTTATTTCCAAATCCAATACGTAAGAAACGACGCGAAGAATCGAGCTTTTCCACAAAACTTCTCGTCGTTTTTAGAGACACAAAAGCCCTAGCCGCCAGCAGCCATCAGAATACAAATTCCGCACCCGCAGTGGGCTCGGAATTTGTCTAAACAACTTCTAATAAAACTGCGGTCGCGTGAAGAGAGCTTAAGGGCCCGGATAATTACCATCAAATGCTAAAACATTATGTTAAAGTTTTTCTTTTTCGAAGCGCGGTTTCAGAGAAATTTTGGGTGTGCGTCTAGGACGCGGCAGTAATCTGCCCGAAGTAAGCTGAATCTCATACGTGGCGCGTGCTACATTTTTCTTAGATGAACCAGTGCAATCGTAACCCGGAATTTAAGACTAATCTACAACATGTCTTGGGGCTAGTTACAGAAGTGGATAACTAGCAGTCTCAATGGAAAAAAGGGAAGCTGCAGACACTAGCCGAGATCTTTGTGTACACTGACGGTTGGCGAGAAGATGGAATTGATTGTAAAGTGCTTTCCGGCGTGCTATCACAGCTTCTGAAAGAGTTTGTGGTGGTCTGGCTACCCAATAAGTTAGTTTACCAGGAGTGTGTGGCAAAGAAATAAAAATGATTACGCTAGGTTGGGTATACAAAAATAAAGAGGTCAGATGGAACAGACTCACTAACAATTGTTCTCTTTAAAATAGTTCGTCGTTGGCCCAGGTCAGTGAATAAACAATAATCCAGTTATGTTGGTCCAGATGTCTTTTTCTGAACACTTCCCACATATAATAGATCCCGAAGATGTCTGAAATGTTTTGCTACCAGAGTTAGTACATGAGACTCGCGAATGACCGCTACAAGCGCAAGCGTCCATCACGCACGCGTCCATCACACACTCTCGCGATTTTCGGATTACTCAAGAATTCGAGAGTGGGGTCACATTTCCCAAGAGCTAGAACTCATCATGTGGAATGATGTCATCACCTGACTGGCCTATGAATGGTCGACAATAGTAGGACCAAGTGGGTCGAAATCGGACTATGGCTCTTCTGAAAAGGTATTGGAATTGAGCTCGACCCGACTGCACCTTGGGACTCCTAGTCCAAATCAACGACTTGTCGTTACAGCAACAGACAAGAGTTCTTAGTTTCTATGAGTCCTCTATCCAGTTTCCACAGGGTTCCATTTCGTTTCAAATGTGCACCGTCAATGTTATCGTGACAAGGTTCTGGGTGAAATGAGGTAGGCCTAACGGGACTGCATCAGCAGACTAATTTGAAGGTATATTTGACCTCTTTAAGTCCTCAAGTTTTTTAGCGATGGAGTTTCATTTTCTAGCAGTAGTTTTGCTCACTCATGGCATCACCAATAGGTTTACCGCCGGCCATAATTTCAGGGAGTATATGATGCCCAAAACTACTGACCTGGTGGACCTTCCATTAAGCAAAGGATCGATGGTTTGAGGTCATTCCCACGCGTATCATTTCAGTTTAACTATGCGCAATTGCACAGTATAGTTCGAGGGCTGTATACATGGTGACGGCTTCGCAGACCCCCGTTAGTCACACACGGGACCTCGAAGCTATTTGCTTCAGTGCATGCTTCTAGCCAAACAAAGATATTCTGAAAGCAGATCACGGTTTCCTGAGGATTACTAAAATAACAGTCGGCGAGCTGAACCACCTCCTCGTGGTGCCGACCGGGTAGCCTGGACGTCTGTCTGGGTGAGCTAAGAGTTCAGCAACTCCAGACAGGGCCAACCACCCCGTTTGGTTTCAATGTGCTGGTTACTTTCGACAATGTATACTACGAATCATCTGGCGCCTCCGCACCAGTTCCAACCAGTACACAGGAGAGACTCGTTGGGTTCACGTGTGAGGAATGTGGCAAGTGCTGCAAATCGAAAGCTGGCTTTGTAGCCCATCATCGA